TCAGTATTTTTTACAAAAAAATCCCCAGTTTATCGGATTGCATAGATTTTCATAAAATAATTTCTACATAGTGCCATAAACATTATGTGAAACTTGAATTGAAATCTGCTGGCTAATTGCGAAAGGGTGGAGCCTCCTTAAATCCTTAGACTTCGTCTTTTGTACTATACATAGCTACTATTGGGTTTTGTGGAGTGATACGTTATATACATAATAATGATGATGTCAACCCATGTGCCATGGTATTCATAGCTGATATGAATGCCAGCTGAACTTGGTAGGACATAGACTGGTGAATGTTGCCCCTGTATTGTCACGGCGATGCACTACCCTTCATGTCTGTTGTACAAGTACCAAACATTGACCGCTAGTTTGCTATAAATAGGTATAGCTTCAGGTATCTATTTAAAAACATGAGTTTTACACATTTGATAGTCCCTTGAAAAAAGAAGTAAAAAAAATTGTAGATAAAAACTAAATGACACTAGTGTAAATCTCATATCTGTGGGAGTTACACACCTGGATGTGTACATGTTCCAGATGTTAACGAGTTTACCTGACAGGTGTCTAGTTTTTATGTTGATAAATTTTAAGACGTAAAAAAATTGATTTGAGTTTGATTTGAAGGAGGTCAGGAATGTTTATATTGATTTTAAGGAAGTCAGGGATGTTTAGATTAATTTGAACCAGTACAAAAGTGTTTAGATTGAGTTGAAGGAATACAAGACTGTTTAGGTTGATTTGAAGGATGACAGAAGTGCTTAGATTGATTTGAAGGATGACAGAAGTGCTTAGATTGATTTGAAGGATGACAGAAGTGTTAAGATTCATTTTAAGGAGGTCAGGAATGTTTAGATTGATTTGACAAAGGATATGGGTTTAGAATGGTTTGAAGGAGGACCTACATTACCAGATTGATTTGACGAAGGATAGGGGTTTAGAATGGGTTGAATAAGGACCTACATTACCAGATTGATGTGACGGAGGATAGGGGGTTAGAATGGTTTGAAGGAGGAGCTACATTACCAGATTGATTTGACTGAGGATAGGGGTTTAGAATGGGTTGAATAAGGACCTACATTACCAGATTGATGTGACGGAGGATAGGGGGTTAGAATGGTTTGAAGGAGGACATACAATACCAGATTGATTTGACGGTGGATAGGGGTTTAGAATGGGTTGAAGGAGGACCTACATTACCAGATTGATTTGACGGAGGATAGGGGTTAAGAATGGTTTGAAGGAGGACCTATATTACCAGATTGATTTGACGGAGGATAGGGGTTTAGAATGGGTTGAAGGAGGACCTACATTACCAGATTGATTTGACGGAGGATAGGGGTTTAGAATGGGTTGAAGGAGGACCTACATTACCAGATTGATTTGACGGAGGATAGGGGTTTAGAATGGGTTGAAGGAGGACCTACATTACCAGATTGATTTGACGGAGGATAGGGGTTTAGAATGGGTTGAAGGAGGACCTACATTACCAGATTGATTTGACGGAGGATAGGGGTTTAGAATGGGTTGAAGGAGGACCTACATTACCAGATTGATTTGACGGAGGATAGGGGTTTAGAATGGGTTGAAGGAGGACCTACATTACCAGATTGATTTGACGGAGGATAGGGGTTTAGAATGGGTTGAAGGAGGACCTACATTACCAGATTGATTTGACGGAGGATAGGGGTTTAGAATGGGTTGAAGGAGGACCTACATTACCAGATTGATTTGACGGAGGATAGGGGTTTAGAATGGGTTGAAGGAGGACCTACATTACCAGATTGATTTGACGGAGGATAGGGGTTTAGAATGGGTTGAAGGAGGACCTACATTACCAGATTGATTTGACGGAGGATAGGGGTTTAGAATGGGTTGAAGGAGGACCTACATTACCAGATTGATTTGACGGAGGATAGGGGTTTAGAATGGGTTGAAGGAGGACCTACATTACCAGATTGATTTGACGGAGGATAGGGGTTTAGAATGGGTTGAAGGAGGACCTACATTACCAGATTGATTTGACGGAGGATAGGGGTTTAGAATGGGTTGAAGGAGGACCTACATTACCAGATTGATTTGACGGAGGATAGGGGTTTAGAATGGGTTGAAGGAGGACCTACATTACCAGATTGATTTGACGGAGGATAGGGGTTTAGAATGGGTTGAAGGAGGACCTACATTACCAGATTGATTTGACGGAGGATAGGGGTTTAGAATGGGTTGAAGGAGGACCTACATTACCAGATTGATTTGACGGAGGATAGGGGTTTAGAATGGGTTGAAGGAGGACCTACATTACCAGATTGATTTGACGGAGGATAGGGGTTTAGAATGGGTTGAAGGAGGACCTACATTACCAGATTGATTTGACGGAGGATAGGGGTTTAGAATGGGTTGAAGGAGGACCTACATTACCAGATTGATTTGACGGAGGATAGGGGTTTAGAATGGGTTGAAGGAGGACCTACATTACCAGATTGATTTGACGGAGGATAGGGGTTTAGAATGGGTTGAAGGAGGACCTACATTACCAGATTGATTTGACGGAGGATAGGGGTTTAGAATGGGTTGAAGGAGGACCTACATTACCAGATTGATTTGACGGAGGATAGGGGTTTAGAATGGGTTGAAGGAGGACCTACATTACCAGATTGATTTGACGGAGGATAGGGGTTTAGAATGGGTTGAAGGAGGACCTACATTACCAGATTGATTTGACGGAGGATAGGGGTTTAGAATGGGTTGAAGGAGGACCTACATTACCAGATTGATTTGACGGAGGATAGGGGTTTAGAATGGGTTGAAGGAGGACCTACATTACCAGATTGATTTGACGGAGGATAGGGGTTTAGAATGGTTTGAAGGAGGACCTACATTACCAGATTGATTTGACGGAGGATAGGGGTTTAGAATGGGTTGAAGGAGGACCTACATTACCAGATTGATTTGACGGAGGATAGGGGTTTAGAATGGTTTGAAGGAGGACCTACATTACCAGATTGATTTGACGGAGGATAGGGGTTTAGAATGGGTTGAAGGAGGACCTACATTACCAGATTGATTTGACGGAGGATAGGGGTTTAGAATGGTTTGAAGGAGGACATACAATACCAGATTGATTTGAGAAAGGTTGAGATGACTTGATTTATTTGAAGGAGTACAGGGAGGTCAAGATTGAATCAGAATGTTACAATACTGTGATCAGGGTAGGGGGTATTGTTAGAAACTTTAGATTGATTACATAACATTTAAATGAGATTTACTTTCCGTTTTGTTGTTAATCTATTCTGTACAAAATAAATGTTGATTATGTTGTACATGCAGGATGTATATTAACGAGGAGAATAATAAATGAGCCGGCCTTGAGAAAGTTGTTTGTATTATCGTTTTGTTGTGACTTTGAACAAGGGTCTATTGTTTAGATATCTGATGTAAAGGTTCATAAATTAGGGTATTTAAACCAGATTTCTCAATATTGATCTCAAAGATGTTGGATATTGTATCGGAGAAGGGCGTTGCAAAGTCAATGCTTGTAATCGGAGAAAATGAACTGGGTCATCAGATATTTATGGCAACATGGTGACTTAGAAATTTTGATATGGATTTCTAGGTCATGCTTACTAAGTCAGTTCATATGTTTTTAAATGATCGCTTCTGAATTGGTTTTCAAACTTCTGTACCCATTTATGCAAACACAAAATGAGCGTTGTGAATGGGAAAAAAAGTCTCAGCTTTCTTGATAATGTTATATAATTCTGAAACAATATGTATTGCTTGCCAACATGTAGATTTGTTTTGATGATTGTCAGGCTAACTGGAGCAGTACTGAGGAAACTAACAGGTCCCATCCTTTTGATGGAGGAGAACTGGTTAGACTACAAAGTACTAGCTACTCGGGACTTGTAGGACTCACTAACCATTTGTAAATTGATCTCTCTAGACTTTTCACAGGAGCATGTGACCCAACCTTTCACACATACATTATCAACAATGCATTGTTTTGTGGTGTCTTGATCTGTTTAAGTAGTGATATGGCATCTCCTCTGGTTAGTAATATCAGTTTGTTTAGGTTAACAATGACAAACATTTCCAGTTTGTTGAAATCATGAACCTTGAGCATTTAACGCTGGTATTGCTGTCCTGTGGACTATTACAGGCCTTGTGGACCTCTTGTGTCTCGTACAGAACTTTGACATACAAACAGGAAGATGTTTGATGTTTTTGATAGTAATACAAGGCTGGGACAAACAGTCTTCAGGAACCATATGTTGATCTAGTTTTGTTACTGTTTGTCTAATTTAGTGTATTCTAATGAGTGAGCTAGTTAAAACTGATAGAGAATACTATAAGTTGTTCTGATGATTTGATATTTGATGTGGAGAACACGACTTTCAGACATTATTGTGAATAAAAATTGTCAACACTGATGTGGAATACTCGTCAACAAGAGGGGAACTTTCTTAACTTGTCTTTCACAAACAAACATGTTCCTGAACCCATTGGGTGTCACGTTTGACCCAGCTGGGGGATTAGAAAGGCTCTTTAGATTTGATTTATGACACGAACACCTCCAATATCTGTGGTAATACTTTGTCTGGGATTACAGACGACTAAAATGATTGATATCAGAGGTCAGCAATTTTCAAAAGATAAATTCCAAGGTTTCAAGATTGGGGTATGACCTGTTACTTAGTGTTGAAATTTGAATCTTGAATCGTAACAAACATCCTGATTAAAACATGTAAACCTTTATGTAATTGGCTCAAACTATCAGTTATTTGGATTCTGGAATGCAAAAATCTCGCCTTTGAATATCTGGAATATTTGCTTTCTGACTTTTGATATTTTATTTTTCCTGATACATACATTTTTAGTTGCTTTTCTTATTTGTTTTCAAAAGTCTAGTTTTGGGGCTGAAATAAAGTTTAAGTCAAATAAGTAGAGGCTAAATTAAATGAACCAACGTTGACCTGATATTTAACTTTTTGTACTTTCAGCATTAGAGAGCTGTGACAGCGCTGGTGACAAAACTCCTGTCATCTCTCAGGTCGAACAGGAGATTTCATTTGTAAGGGAGACAATTCCATTGGCTAAGGTTGATCAGGATTTGTCCCCCCTGAATGGATACTCGGACATAGAAAGCATTTCAGAACTACGACGACTGGTATGTACAAATAATTATAAAATTTATAATTTTGACATCGCGTCATGATTGGTCCCCGATTATTCAAACAGTTTTACAGAGTGCCCATTTAGACAACAGTTTCTGATTCAACAACATTCATGTGTAATGATTCAAGTTGGCCCAAATATCAAAATTGGTACCAGTATATTGGGAAGTAATATATAACTTGTAACAGACTGGTGTCCTTCCAGAGTGATCTAAGATGTATTCTTGGTAGGTAGCTTACCACTATACTGTCATCATGGTTAGGATTTGTAAAGTTGTAAGGAACAAAGACAGGTTTGTTTAAGAGTCATTTGTTAATGGGACAATTATTCTGAAGTCATTTGGTGGTGACATTGTTGTTCTGAACACATCACTCTTTATTCTAAAATGAGTTTGTGGTGATGGGACACTTTGTTCTGAAATCATTTGTTGGTGAGACAATGTAGTCATTTAGTACTTGGACACTTTGCTCTGAAGTGACTTTGTGACCGTTTTGTACCAGGATCTCTGAGCTATTTGTTTACATGTGCACACTATGAACCGCAACGATTTGTGGAAATTGAACGGTTTCCTTTATTCGAGCCACCTGAGGTAAATTAAATGGTATCAGCCCGTAAAAGAATCATTGAATACTATAGAAAGGTCACGATATTTAATGGATTTTTATATCCTGTCTCTGAACTTTATTTCCGACCAGTGTCAAAACTTGCTCGAATGGAAAGACCATAAATGATGATTTCTTGGTGTGTAATCAAGTGTACAGACCTGATAAAGGTGTGTTGGGTGATAATGTGGATGTGTTGACACTGAGCGCAGTAGTTTTGTTTTGGGTTGAGGGATCAGCGGACCAGGAGTTTACGAGGGATTAATATATTGGGTTGTCTAGACCAGATATAGTCACGTTTGTTACCAATTGTTTACATATAACTGTAAATATTTGTTCCCTGTTGATAAAAGCGATAAAGATGATATTACAAGGTATAAATCTGTTTTATGCCCATCTTAAACCTGCCGAGTCAAAAGTTCAGCTTTTACACAGATTATTATTTCCCATATTTGAACGATGTCCAAGACTTCCATATTTTTTTCACTGACTGTTATGTTGGAACTTTTCACTGACTTATGTTGGAACTTTTCTGTCATAATTACTGATTTAAGACTTATATCAGCTTAAGTTTATTGACACATCCTGTGTGACAGATTTTAAGGAAAAGAATCCAAGATATATTAAAACAAATGGATATTTGTTCAAAGTTAAAAAATTTGCAGTAAAACCTCAATATAATTCTTCTCATTCAATATGCATTGTACCTTTCATGCTGCAAACTTGTTTCAAGGTCCCATTTTCTCTTTATTCTTAAAATTTCCTGTACAATTTTACCTCCATTCATCGCCAAACCCCTTTATAATGCCAACATTTCTTTGGACAAATCATGGCAGTATAATGAGGTTCCACTGTATATTGTTAATATATCATTTAAGATATGGTAACCTAGTTATACAAATAGAATAGAATAGAGAGAGGTTAACATGAATTTAAATGTTTTTAATAAATAACAGAGAAACAATTACAAAAAGTATTGCACTTGTGTTAACATGTATCATGTACATGTACCGTTACAAAATACATTAACTCAATCACCCCTGAAGACACATTTGAACTCTTCCAATTCAAAGGTTAGAGCAGTTCATTATGAAATTTCAGGGATGAATGAGTTAAACCAGTTCTTTTATCAATTACAGGTATCTGATAGTATACCAAACTAAATAGAGCGGTTTACCTAGGTATTGTCAGTCTTTGTGTTTTATCGTTACCTGACCTAACGAGATATGGTTCTCTGTGCTATCGGTAACAAGTCATTAATGGCTCAATAATTAGCTCCCTGATGAGGTTACGATCGGAAAATGAGGACAAAACAAATACAAGATTGTATAATAAATGTTACGTCTGTACTCTGCTGATCGTATATGTAATGTGTTTGTAAGACATGTACATTTGTAATATGTAGCCTGTGGGAATTCAAACATTCAGATAATAATGATCTTATCAGTAAACAAGCAGTGTGTTTGTATTTTCGATTGTTGAAGTATATGTATTGAGGTCTCATGGTGGTTGAGAGAGCATTGAATTTGGCAAGCTTTCAACACACTTTCAAATTACATAGCTCAAATGTGTTTCAGTGTATATGTGGTGAGATTGATGCAGTTTGGTCTGGCTGGTGCAGTTAATTAAGATTGTGAGATTGATGAAGTTGGTCTTATAGTTTATTAAGTTTCTCGTGAGATTAATAAAGTTTGGTTTGTTCTGATCAAAGGTTGTTGGATTGAAGGTTTCAGAATAATTGGTATACAGATTTGTGACATTTATGCCAACCCTCTTCGTCAAGTTGCTAGCTTTGATATTGTAATAATGAAATGTCAGTGAATGTCTTATCAGAGACACTGCAGAAAACTGTTACAGTATTAATGTTAGACCTCCGTCTTTATACACTTCAGACTTCAATAGAGTTAGATATTTCTATCATACATCAGTTAACCTTAGTGAAATAGTCTGTACATTGTTTAGAAATGGAGTCTTACTTCTTTTAGTTGTATACAGATTAAGTTCTTGTCATTCTTTGTTCTTAAGCCATCAATTATACAGAAGTGAACTCTGTTGTACCTTGGTCACTAAAGTTCAGCATACAGTTTTCTTAGTAACAAAAGCATTTTTGACAACTACTGAAAGACGATGTTTCAATTTTAAACAAATTTTGATCTTATGTTTTCCCTTAATCGGATAGTAAAACTGCAATTACAGGACACGACAAAATATTTACAGCCAGGGAGGGATACAGGTCCAATGAGCCTCTTCAAAATACATGAGGAGACATGTGTTTTGTGTAACAAGTTAACATGTTTAAGAAAGTGAAAACAATGACATTAGAAGCATGAAACAAATGAATGTACTTGTGGGTTTTATGTACACAAAACAATGAAACATTCCATGCTTGTCAAGCCTTGATGATTTGTCTGTGTGTTAAGAACTTCTAGTTTGTTGGATAAATTTATTTTGTTAGTAAACTGATAAGTTTTCAAACAAGGTCAACCCATTCTACGATGGAAACTGTTGACTGTGTATACAGTGTGACATAAACGAGTGTTATAAACTCTCCGAGTAAACAATGAAAACTTAAACCCAAAATGGTGTCAAAAGACACGTTTTATTTGACATGGAATTAATGAAGCATTGACGACATCATAGTAGGATTGTAAAACCTTAAAGTCAACCATTTATATATGCCTCGTAAGACTTTCAGACACAGCAGAACAAAAACATGGAATCCTGCTGGTGTTCCTGTTATCTGTAACAATAACACTTAATTCTTTTATGTGACAGAGGTGTCGAAGTTTGGTTAATACTGGCTAAATTCTCCTATCTCACATTTACAAGGGTTGGATTAAGGGCATTACAATATCCAGGTGTTTGTTTTTTAAACTAATCAATAAGTAAATCTACATTTGGATCTAGTCTCTCCTGGAGAAAATCAATTAAAAGCAAATTGAATAGATAGTAATTAACTTGTGCCACTGTTAAGCACACACTGTGTAGGTATAGGGTGTCGGACAGTTTCTTATTGTCCTGTAATCCTCGGGTCAGTATAACCATTCAGGAACTGGTCAGTAGGAGGTACTGGCACCACTGGTCAGCTGTCCCTACAAGATTTGGACAGTCCATTCGATGGGGTCATTCTGACGATTGTCCCAAGTCTGGCCAACCTTACTGGGACATTTAATTCTATGTGTTTGGGCCATTCTGATATACATTGTACTATTATTGTGGAGTTCACACCTGTCATGTATTTTGCCTGTGAGAATTTGAAATTCCTGTCAGTAATATGTGTACATTTAGAAGAAAGCTTGATATCAATTTTGATTTTTGCATTTGACACAGCCCACTTGGCATGTGATTCGACACTGTACAATGGTCATATGTTACATGCAGTGATCCTTTTTTTTAATTAGCTGACATTTAGTGTGTGCTTGGAGTTATACAAACTCATAAATTAGGTGCTACGTGTAATATTCTAATTCTCCTGGATTAAATCAACATTGCAAGATTTCAAAATTACTTGGACGGTGACATTGGAATTAAAATCATGGCTGACTCCATTCTGCTGCACAGCCCCATGAGGAAGGTAGGTTTGACTGACAACTGAGTCTTGCTAGAAATATTCACCTCACCTTTAAGGAGGATTTTTTTCCTTTTTTTTTTTTTATCTATTTGAGAAATGATTTTTTATCTTGAAAATAATCTTTGGAATATGTGTGTGTTCATATTCTATCATTAACATTAAAGAAAGAGAAGAACTTAGTGAAATAAACTTTTGAACTTTAATTTCTTTCAACTTTTGAAATTTTTTCGACAACAAGTTTTTGTAAAGTATACGATTGTCCAATGAAGTCTCAAATGCTTTATTGGTAAGAGTCTGTTGTAACTGTCCGTGGCGTATGTTGTGGAGCTGTACCTACTAGCTCCATACCTCACATTAGGTCATTAAACCTTTACAACTAGTACATTGTTTGGTACTATTTTATCAACATACTTTGCAATTAGTGATAAGTTCATAGAGGTGTTGATGTCAAAAGTTGTAAGGTGATCTAGATAAGATCTTAATGATAAGCTGACACGGTTCTGTTGTATAGGTAGAATAATAAATGTCAGCTATATATCATGCTGTGTTTAAGCTCTCATCAGGGATTATGTGAAGGATTAACTGTTACGTAACCATTGGAGGCAAATATATGTGTTATTAATTTACTCCATATTTTTCATGTAGTGCTAAGTCAATAGAATTTCATTTCAATTTTTGATTTAATTTTGTTAAAAAAATATTAGTTGTGAGGAATTTAGGAGGTGGCAATGAGATGAGAGTGCAGACTAAGATAGGGACATGACAACTACAATGCAGAGTGTAAAACTATAGTGCTGGATTACACTGACAACCAACTGA